CACACATATCACATTTTCTTTATTTTTCATCTATTGATTGGCGTTTGGATTGCCTCCATATCATGGCTGATGTGAATAATGCTGCAATGAACAGGAGAGTGCGGATAGATATACCTTCAAATCCTGATTTCAGTTTTTTGGATACAAACATAGATATGAGATTGATGGATCATGTGGTTCTCTATTTTTAGTTTTTTAAAAATCTTGCACAATGTTTCCATGGTGAATATACCATTCTAACTTGGCATCAACAGCATATAAATGTTCCAGTTTCTCCACAATCTTACCAACACCTATTACCTTTTTTTTATTATAGTAGATATTCTAACAGATGTTGTATGATGTCTCCTTGTAGTTTCCATCTGCATTTCCCTGATAATTAGTAAAACTGAGCACATTTCATATAGCTGGGAGTCATTTGTATGTTCACTTGAGTAAATATATATTTCAAGCATTTATTCCCTTTTAAATTGAGCTATTACTTTTTTCATTAAGTTTGAGGAAATTCTTATGTATTTTTTAGTTCTTATATATTTACATTAACCTATCAACAGAGGACTGGCAAATATTTTATCCAACTCTATGGGTTGCCTTTCCCCTTTGTTTCTTGTGCTGTGCAGAAGCTTTTTAGTTTGATGTAATCCCGCCTGTCTAGTTTTTTTGTTGCTTGTGATTTTTATTTCAAATTCAAGAAATAACTGCCAAGAGCAGTGTAAATGAAGCTTGTTTCTTACATTCTTTTCAAGGAGTTTTATACACTTATAGGTACACACTTATACAGAAAAAGTGCACCTACACCAAAGCAATACAGTGCTGAGCACTATTCAAAATACATTGAGAGGATTACTCCCACATTACTGTCCCTACAAAAAATTCATACATACAGTAAGGAATGCAAAGTTTTTAGATGTGGTGCATATATTTGGAAACTTGATTGGAGTGACAACATCATGAATGTACAAATATGCCCAAACTCATCCAAATTTAGATACTAAATATGTGAAAAAAACTCCATATCAATTATACCTTATAGAAAAAGGAAAGAAAATTCACTAGTGGTTACACTTGAAACTGAGTTTGAGGTTTAAACTTGGTAAGGCAGCTCTTAGCTGCTTCTCAAAGATCCTATTCCCATACATGATGCCTTTACCTATCAATATTGAAATTAATTCTGTTTTCCTCTTTTACCTCAGGGCATTTGCATGGAATTCCCGCTTCCCTCTCCCTTACTTTGTCTAAGATCTAATAATACTGATTTCTTACTTTAAAAATCACCTACTCTTTCCACTCTCCCAGGCTGAGCTGCAAGTCTACTTTTTCCTCCTCTGTGGTGTCCTGGGCTGTGGTAGCTGCTGTGGCACCTCAATGCCATGCGCACTGAGCACGCCATGTCCCACTCCACACTGGAAAGCCAGGCGGTGACCCCACCTTTTTCACTGTAGTAACATAGATTCTCATCATCTTTGAAGCAGATACTCAATTTGATGAGTGAATATTAACCAAACAACAGACTCTCCCAAGACTTGGCTTACCTTCTTGGCTTTGTACTTTGACCATTTTTTTGACCTTTCACCAGCAAAAGGGGAGAGAATTTAGAGGAGTAGTCTGAGGTCAATTTCTGATTTTCTGACTCTTGTACTTCTTGTCTGATCTCAAGAGGTCAGGCATAAGCCATAGCTAGAGGCCTGTGCAGATACTATTTGTAAGTGCACACAGATTCCAGCAAGAAGCCCTCATGGGCTAGAATAGTAGAAGTGAGTATAGGACCCAGCCAGGGCCCGTCCCACAAAACAGCTATCCAAGTGGGCAAACCCCAGCCAGAGGCATGACAAGAACCATCCCTTGTGTGCCCAGGCCTCAGCAAGAACCCTGCCTAGCAACAGGGCAGCACAGGGATCTAGAAGGCCACCATTCTGAACCCAGGAAATGGCTCAGTGGGGAGCAACAGAGAGTCCTCTCTGAGGACTGCTGAGAATTGAAGCCCACTAGGTGAGCAAAGTCACCTCAACAAAGGCATAGCAGGCTGCATTTATTGAAATGAGAAGACAGATAAACAAGTCTCAGAAAAGGACTTCCAGATCACCTAAGGCAGCTCCATGGGCAATGAGATGGAACAATCTGATACTGAACCACCTGGACTCCCTGAACTTGCAATGAAAGAGGATCTGGAAAAAATGAAATCAGAAATAATTTCTCAGATAACAACAGAAATTGTGTCCATAGTGAAAGACATGATTAACAACTCTAGAGAAGACATAGATTTTAAAAAATGTATAAGAGCTGAGGAACATGATTGAATCCAAGCATAGGAAACAAATAGAATCCATAAAACAGATACAAAGAGATATCAAAGAGATTAAAAACTCCATTGAAAGTTTATGCATCAGAATAAGCCAATGTGATGACATAATATCAGATATAGAAGACAGGATTTCTATTAGTGACTACAAAAAGAAAAATTTCTTAAAAATATTAAGGGACCACAAGAAATCAATCCAGCAGCTGCTAGATGGTGCAAAGAAAAATAACATAAGACTGATCAGAGTCAATGAAGAAACGGGAGACAGTGCAAATGACATTTAAATTAAAAAAAAACTATTCACAGAAGTAATGGCAGAAAAATGCCCAAGGAGAGGAAAAGAATTTGACATTCAGATAAGTGAGTCATATAGAATTCCAACTAGCTGTGATTAAAAACTTTAAAAACTACACCTCAGCTTATAATAGTTAAGATTCCAGAAACCCAATAGGAGAACAAAATCCTATAAGCCATTAGAGAAAAGAAATAAATCACATACAAAGGAAAGCCCAGTAGAATTACAACAGACTTCTCAACACAAACTCTCAAGTCAAGAAGAGGCTGGAGTGAAGTACTTCAAGCCATAAAAGAAAAAGCCTCCAACTCAGATTGATGTACTCTGTAAAGCTATCTTTCAAAACTGGTGGAGAAATAAGATACTTTCAGGAGAAAGAGCACCTAAGGAACTTCATGAATACCAAACCAGCACTCCAAAAAATTTTAAATGATGTCCTAGGAAAAGACAATGAGGATCACAGCCCCAGGAAGCCCAGCAGAATGAATCCATCAGGCACGACAAGAAATCAAATAGAAAGGGGTAGAATCCAACAAAAACAAAAAGTCATGACAAGGATAAGTCAATACATATCAGTTATAACCATCAATATTAATAATTTCAGCTCATCAATCAAAAGAAATAGATGGGCAGAATGGGTGAAGAAGCAAGAGCCAACATTGTGCTGCATACAAGAAACACAATTAAAAAAAAAACTCAGTCTGAAAGTTAAAGGGTGAGAAACAATACTCCATGTGACAGGAACCCCCAAATAAATAGGAGTAGCTATCCTATTTGTAGATCAAATGGATTTAAAAGCAGCACTAGTTAAGAGAGGCAAAGAAGGACACTACATCCTTGAAAATAGAAATATCTAAGAGGAAGAGATGACAGTCATAAATATAAATGCACCAAATACTACTGCATCCAACTATATGAAATAAATACTAATGAACATGAAAAATCAAATAATCACTAATACAATAGTAGTGGGGTTTTCATCTGCATCTGTTGAATGACCAGTGATGTTGAACATTTTTTCATGTATTTATTTGCTGCTTTTACTTGTTTGTCTGAGAAATGTCTGTTCATTTCAGATGCCAATTTTTGAATTGGGTCTTTATATTTAGAGAGTCTGATTTTTTTGTTGTTGTTGTTCTTTTTATGTTCTAGATAGTAGTCCTTTATCTAAGGAGCAACTGGTAAAATTTTTTTTTCCCACATTGTATGTTGTATCTTAGCTCTGCTGGTGGTTTCTCTTGGACTGCTGAAGCTTTTTAATAGGATGAGATCCCAGTTGTTGATTCTTTGTGCAAGTTCCCATGTTACTGAGGAAATGTGGCTTTTCTATAGAATGGAGTAGTATTCAACCATGAAGAATGAGAAACTAGAGTCATTCATAGTTAAATGGATGCCCATTGAGACCATACTCTTAAGTGAAATAAATAGGACACACTTAAGTAAATACCAAAGAGTTTCTCTGGTGTGAAAACTAAAAATGTAAATAAGGTTCAAATGGTATAATTGATAGTGTGAAATAGGAAGAAAATATCTAAAAGGGAAGGGAATGTGGGAAGGGTAGGAGAAAGGAAATAATGGAAAAGAAAAAAATATGAAAAAAGCAAAAAATGGAAACAAAGCCTTTGTAAATAGGGAGGGGTTAAGGGTGTGAAGGCAGGGGGATGGAAGGAATGAAAACCACAATACATCATGTAAAGGTACAAGATCCCAATGATAAATGTAACTGTATCATTTACCTTAAATATACCAATAAATTTAATGAAAAAAATAGCTGCGTGGGACCTCAATACCCCACTGTCACAAATAGAAAGATCAACTAGACAAAAAATAAACAATAAAATACGAGAATTCAATCAAACTCTTGAAAAAATTAACTTACCAGATGTTACAGAGTGTTCCACCCCACAAAAGCAGAATACACATTCCTCTCAGTTGCACACGGGTTGTTCTCCAAAATAGACCCCATGTTCTTGCTCACAGTATATGTTTAAATAAGTGTAAAGGAATTGAAATAATCCCCTGTATATTATCAGACAATAGTGCTATGAAATTGGAGATTAATAGTAATAGAAACCACAAGAATTTCATAAGCACATGGAAATCGGACAACTCTCTTCTGAATAACAAGTGGGTCACAGAGGAAATTAAAGAAGAAATCAGAAAGTATTTATAATTAAATGACGATGCCAATACAAAATAGCAGAATCTATGGGACACAATGAAAATAAGTCTAATGAAGGAAATTCATAGCAGTAAATACTCATATTAGGAACCTCAAATAAACAACGTAATGCTGAACCTCAAGCTTCTAGAAAAAAGAGCAGGACAAACCCAAAGCTCATACAAGGGAGGAAATTATAAAGATCAGAGGCAAAAATCAATGCAATGGAGACTAAGACACAATACAAAAAAAAAAAAAAAAAAAAAAAAAAAAAAAAAAAAAAAAAAAGTCAATGAAGCAAAGAGTCAGTTCTTCAGAAGAATAAACAAAATTGGGACAGGTATTTAGCTCAGTGGTTCCACCTTCTGCTTTGCAAGCACAAGGTCCTGAGTTCAATCGCCAGTACAAAAAAAAAGAAAGAAAAAAATGACAATCCCTTAGCCAACTGCATCAAAAAAAGGAAAGATCCAAATCCATGCAATTAGGATTCAAAAGTGAAATTACAACAAACTCCACAGAAATCCAGTGGATAATAAATACCTATTTTGAGAACCTATATGATAATAAGATGGAAAACACAGAAGAAATGGACAGATTTATAGATACATATAAATTACCAAAGTTGAATAAAGATCACCTAAAAATTCTAAACAACCCAATATCAATCAACAAAATTGAAAACGTAATTAAAAACTTACCAACTAAAAAGTCTTGGGTCGTGATGTCTTCACTACTGAATTCTACAAGACATTTAGAGAAGAACAGTTCCCACTACTGTTTAAATTCTTCAGTGAAATTGAAAAGGAAGCAATACTCCCAAATTCATTCCTGGACACAAGCAGCACCTTGATCCCAAAAGCAGAGAAATATCCTACCCAAAAAGAGAACAATAGGTCAATTCCCTAATGAACATAGATACAAAACTCCTCAATAAGATACTGGTAAACTGAGGAAGCCTGGGCCTGATCCACCGCGGGAAGGAGAGCCATGCCTTCTCCCGCCCCAGGTGCCATCTCTTCAGTGCAAGGAAGATAGCCGCGCAGGAACCCCTGAACCCCCATAACTTCCCTTACACACACACACACACACACACACCGCACACTCTCAGACTTCCTGACTGTGCCAATCTTTGGACCCACTCTGCAGAGGCAGAGGTGGTCATAAAGGGTATGTTTCTGAGTTTCCAACTTTGAACATCTTTAAAGAATGGGAGCGGGAAACCTGTAATAGACAGGTGTGGAGTTCAACCATTCAGAAGGTTGGGGAGCTCAATCTGGGCCTTGTAGCCTGAGGTCAGTCTGGGTCATGGGGTTCAGCCATCAGCTGAGATCAGGGGTCTTGTGTCCTCACTCTGTCTGAGCCATTAAATGGTAAATATACTATATTGAAATTTTGTTCCCAGCAGACAAGTTTTGAACTGCTTCTTGATTTCAGTTTAATTCAAATTATTTAAGGGTGATAGACTAATGACTACCACAGGTGGTCAGTTTCCAAGTTGTGCTTGATCTTAATGTGTTGCTGATTGTATCAGTTGGGATAAAGCATTGTGGTTGATTTGATGAGCTGTTTTCTCTGATGTTATGAAGATGAGAATGTCTGTGGGTCATTAGAGACTCAGAAGGTAGGATGCAACTATATCAGGAAGATTTGGGTGATAACCCAGAGATTAAACCAAGGACAGCCCGACAGCAAAAATAAAAATGAGAAAACACTTAAGCAAGACACAAAGACAGACTTCCAGTTCACCAATGGCAAACAGTAGGGCAAATGAGGATGAAAAGGCCAATGGTGAACCACCAGGACACCCTGAACTCAAAGCACAGGAAGTAACAAAACAGATCAATCAGTCTCTAGAAAAATTCAAAACAGAAATAATTTCCCAGATAACTATAGAGATAGTGAGCAAAATGGAAGTCATGATTCGAGACTCTACAGTAGAAATTGATAAAAAAATAGATTAGCTCAGGACCATGATAGAAGCCATGAAGGCCCAGCATAAGAAAGAAATGGAAAAAATGAATGCCCAACATAGGAAAGAAATGGAATCCAGAAAACAGATTCAAACAGATACCCAGGAGATTAAACACTCCATTGAAAGTGTACATAACAGAGTAAAAGAATGCGAAGATAGACTCTCAGATATAGAAGATAAGATTGCAGTCATTGACCATGAAAAGAGAGGTCTCTTAAAAACAGTAAGGGATCATGAGAAATCAATCCAACAACTCCTAGATGATGCAAAGAAGAATAACATAAGACTGATAGGAATCCATGAAGTAGCAGGAGAAAATACAAATGATTTAAAAAAGCTGTTCGCAGAATTAATGACAGAAAACTTCCCAAACAGAGGGGAAGAATTTGACATTCAGATAACTGAGACATATAGGACCCCAACTAGCTACAATAAAAAAAAATCTACACCTAGGCATATAATAATGAAGATCCCAGAAACCCAACTGAAGAACAAAATACTACAAGCAGTAAGAGAAAAGAAACAAATCACATGCAAAGGAAAGCCCATCAGAATCAAAGCAGACTTTTCAACACAAACCCTTGGGGCAAGGAGGGCCTGGAATGAGATATTTCAAGTACTAAAAGAGAACAACCTCCAACCTAGACTGATGTATCCTGCAAAACTCTCTTTCAAAATGGATGGGGAAGTAAGATACTTCCACAACAAAGAACATCTGAGAAACTACATGAATACCAAACCAGCACTACAAGGAATTCTAAACAAGATCCTAGAAAAACACAATGAAGGCAACAACACCATGAGGCCCAACAAAGCAAATCAAATAGGTAAGAAAAAGAAACTAAAAGGAGAAGGTGAAAAAGTAAAAAGAGTCAACAAAAGGCCAATAACATGTCAATAATAAGTCAGTACATATCAGTCATAACCATCAATGTCAATGGCCTCAACTCACCAATCAAGAGAAATAGACTGGCAAAATGGAATAAGAAGCAAAATCCAACAATATGTTGTATACAAGAAACACACCTACTACAAAAAGAAGCCCATAGACTGAAAGTGAAAGGATAGAAAACAATTCTCCATGTGACAGGAGCCCAGAAAAAAACAGGGGTAGCAATCTTATTTGCAGGCAAAGCAAATTTCAAACCAAAACTGATTCTAGTAGTATTGATGTAGGAAGGTACTGTATCATACCTCTGTGAGTGTAAAATATCTTGTACCTGCTTTATGATACATAGTAGTGACCGTGCTTTATCAGAGCTATATTTAATGATATTACTCTAGAATGTTCTCTTTCCAGATGATGATTAAGATGCTAATAAAAAAAAGGTGCCAGGTACCACAACAGCAATAGAACTTTGCTGTTTTCTGTATATTATTCTTTTCTTTGTTTTGTTTTGTTTTGTTTTTAATAGAATGTGCTGAATGTCTATAATTTTGTTCAGATAACTGCAGAACCTGGAAAAGCTGTTGCTGCTATTGATGCATAACATACTTATATTGAATTTTGGGAACCTTAAACAGTGCTGTTAACTTTGGAAAAAGTTATGCCAATTTACTGTGTTGAGATGGCATTGTACAGAAATGGACAGCCATATTGGTCTAGAAATGTTAATTTTTTTATTTTTATTTTTTTTCCATTTGTACAGGGGTAATGCATTGTACTAAACATGTAAGGTCATATCTATGTGGATTTGATTACAGAAACTAATAAAGTATTCTCTAAATAATGAAAAAAAGAATAAGATAAGACTACAAGAGCAAGAAGCAATTTAAATATGTTAAGGGACCATTTTCATCTTCAGAATTAAGGATTATTTTAATCTTACATCATTGCCTTTTCTCTTTTATTTTCCTTTTTAGTTTTATTTTAGAATTCCCTATTTTTAATGTTCATACAGAGAGAGATTTCTTTAACTGAAATACCTAATAGTTTCTCTGATGTGAAAAACTGTAATAGTACATAGGATCCTGATGAGATAATTAATAACGTGAAATAGGAAATAAAGGGTTAAAGGTGTAGGGAAAGTGGGAAGGGTGGGGGGAAAGGTAATAAGGGATAGGAAAAAAAATAGGAGAAACTGAAAAAATGGAAATAAAGTGTTTGTAAATGGGGAGGGGAGGAGGCGGTGAAGGGAGGGTAGGGACAAGGGGGAAAAATGAGAATCAAGACCTATTATGTAAAGGTAAAGGATCCCAATGATGAATGTTACTGTATTGTATACCTAGATTGTACCAATAAACTCAATAAAAAGAAAAAGATACTGGCAAACAGAATACAGAGGGCCATCATGAAGATCATGTACCCTGACCAAGTGGGATTCATCCCAGGGATGCAGAGAGGGTTCAACATATGCAAATCAATAAATGTAATATACTACATTAAAAGAGCCAAGGAAAAAAACATATGATCATCTCAATAGATGCAGAAAAAACATATGACAAAATCCAACACACATTCACAATAAAAACCCTATACAAAATTGTAGTAGACAGTCTCTATCTCAATCTGATAAAAGCCATCTATGAAAAACCAACAGCCAATATTATACTAAATGGTAAAAAGCTGAAATCCTTCACACTAAAATCAGGAACAAGACAAGGATGTCCTCTATCACCACTCTTGTCCAATATAGTTTTGGAAATGTTAGCCACAGCAATTAGACAAGAGAAACAAATAAAAGGAACAAAGAAAGGAATGGAGAAGTTAAAGTGTCATCATTTGCTGATGATATGATACTCTACATAGAAAACCCCAAGGACTCTACCAAATACCTTCTAGACGTAACAACCAAATTCAGTAGAGTGGCTGGATGCAAGGTCAACACACGAAAATCAGTATCTTTCCTGTACACAAACAGCAGACTCACCAAAAGAGGGACTAGAGAAATAACTCATTTCATGATAGTGTTCCAAAAAATGAAAAACCTAGGAATCAACCTAATGAAAGAAATCAAAGACCTCTACTCTGAAAACTCTACTCTAGCACTCTGAAAAAAAAAAAGAAAGAAAGAAAAGAAAACAAGAAAGAGATTGAAGAGGGTATCAGAAAATGGAGGGCTAGGGATTTAGCTCAGTGGTTTAGCTGCCTGCCTTGAAAGCACAAGGTCCTGAGTTCAATCCCCAGTGCCAAAAAATAAAAAAAAAATAAAAAGGGAAAAACATGCCTTACTCCTGGGTAGGAAGAACCAGTATAGTGAAAATGGCTAGACTTCCAAAACTGCTATACAGATTCCATGCAATCCCAATTGAAATTCCAACAGCATACTTCAAAGACCTTGAAAAAACAACCCAAAAAATCATTTGGAACAAAAAGAGACCTAGAATAGCAAAAGCAATTTTAGGCAACAAAGACAAGGTGGGGGTATCACAATCCCCAACTTGAAACTGTACTACAAAGCTACTGTGCTAAAAACAGCACGGTACTGGCACAGAAACAGACCTGAGGATCAGTGGAACAGATTAGAAGATGCAGAAACAACTCCAGACACACTCAGTCACCTCACCTTTGACAAAGGAGCCAAACACCCTGACTGGAGGAACGATAGTCTCTTTAATAAATGTTGTTGGAAAAATTGGGTTTCAACTTGCCAAATATTAAAGCTAGACCTGTATCTCTCACCGTGCACTAAACTAAAATTGAAATGTATTAAAGATCTAAAGATTAAAACAGAAACGGTAACCTGGCTGGAAGAGAGCTTAGGTATAACTCTAAGATATTGGCATGGGAAAATATTTTATGAACAAACCTGAGTTGCACATGAACTA